TGACGCAGGAGATGACTGACCACACTGGGGAAACTGCTGCTGAGTCCTTTCCCTTCTTCTCAGGCCTCTCCTGCACCCGAGTCAGCTGCCTTTCCTGCCATGCTCCCATCTCCAAGGGAAGAACCAAATGCTGGGAAGCCCAGTCATCAGTCGGCCTCCTTCCCACCCAGGCAGATCCACCCACAGCCACTGAGCAAAGCTGCGGCCCCTCAGACTAGCTTCCAGGTCCATCCCTCCTCTGCCAGGCACTCAGCAGCTTGTACCAGCAGGACCCATCCTCACCCTCCAAAGGACAGATCTCAGCCCTGTCCACTGACAGCTTTGCTCCCCCAGGCCACGCTGAAAGCCTTGCACACACCATTTCATTTAATCTGCTCAGCAACTTCCCATTTAACAGATGAGAAAAACAGATTCCCATCTGAATCTGCCAGGTGGCAGAGCAAGGATTCAGAACCAAATTTGCCTGACCAAGGTCTCATGTTCTCCCTTTTTCATTCTATAAACCCACTGGTGAAGCCCAAAAGACTCCTTTTTTTAATTTTATTTAATTTATTTAATTTAATTTAATTTTAGAGATAAAGGGCTCGTTTTGTAGCCCAAGCTGGTCTTAAACTCCTGGGCTGAAGCAGTCCTTCCACCTTGACCTCCCAAAGTGTTGGGATTACAGGTATAAGTCACCACTCACAGTCCCAAAGGGCCCCTTTTGTGTCTGTGTTTAAATGCATAAAATAAAATACAGAGAATTACAAAGGAAACTATTAAAATATGTACTTCTTTATTAATGGTTTAAACAACAAGATTTAGCAACAGATTTAAACGTTGCCAGAATGTTGAAAATTGTTGATGTGTAGTTGTAATATGATGTGAAAATATCATGTGAAAACTATTGGTGAAAGAATATCAGATACTGTGGTTTGTGGCCTACATTCATAATCAAAGGAAATGCTACATTTCAGTTAGTGCTTAGTAGAAATAATATGTGCTTTTTTTTCATCCAAGTTTATGAACCCTTGAATTCTATCTACAGACTCTGGGTGTGAGGATCCAGGCAGGAATGCCTGGTCTGTTAAGATCCGTGCTCTAGGGCCAAGGCCTTCAGTAAGATCTGGCTCTGGCTCTGATGTGGGCTGTCAAGTCCATGAGAGGAGGGAAGCCCTCCTATCCCAAGGCCCTGGGGTTCTACTTCTCTGGGGAAGTTGGAGGCTGCCAGGAAAGTAAGTCCCAGTATGTAACACTAGCAAGCCCCTCTGAAATAGGGCTGACTCTTTTACCTGGATCTCACAGTGCACTGGGGTGATGCTGGGAGCCCTTCCAGTGGCAAGCACTTGGCTTGTGTGATACACAGTTCTTTCACTGCATATATATTTAGTAAGAACCCTACTTTGTGCCAGGTATTGGCAAGACCCCGTGGAGTCCATAGGCTGGTGGAAAGACAGCCGGTGGGCCCAGTGTTGGGGCACATGAGCTTAGTCTTCTTTGATCCTGGGGCTGAGTGAGGTGGCAGTACTGGAGTCGGGTTTCTCACACACTTCCCTTGAGGCCCCAGCCTGGAGAAGTCCAGACCATGCCCAGCAGATGTTCAGCTAAAAAGGAGGAGAGAGGACATGGCAGCCTCCCTCTTCTGTGTTACCACTGAGATTGGAAAGGGACAGTTAATCTGGAGGGGACTGAGAGATGGGGCCAGGGAAAGCAAGCCGTGCAAACAGAAGTCTACAGAGGAGAAGAAAGAGCACTTAGTTCTGCACCACCCTCTAAAAAGTGAGAGCGCTCACTCATAGACCCTCTCCCCACTGTCCGTCTGAAGTGGCCAGGAAGGAAAGACTGCAATACCCCAGACCCTTTAATAGCATCTTGCTCCCTGAACCTTGGTTTTGCCGCTAATTTCTGCAATCTGGCCTTGGCCCTGGCCCCAGCCATGACTGTTGCTGTTTCTCCCACACCAGCCCTCTGGACCATGAAGTCAGCACAGCCCTCCCTGAAGTTGTCATCCAGAAGTTAATATACAAGTCAGTTAGTGCACAGACATTACTAAAACAGCAGCAACAGAGAATTGTAAAATAATTAAGGAGGTCTTTCAGGGTGGCAGCCCCTGAAAGGGTCCCCCATTCCACAGTCTGGCCCCTAAGCTGTGCAGGACAGAAGTTCAATTTGATCTCTGCTATGAGAGCCGAACTCATGACAACCACACCCCTAAGAGGTTCCTGTTAGTTGACTAGAATATCCACTCCTTCCTAGATAGTAGGATCACAGGATGACGAAAAGTTAGTTAGTGAACATGGAATCAGACAAAATAGGCTTGAGGGATTTTTCATCGACCAAGCACATGGATGCTCTGTTCCCAGAGCCCATCTCTTGGGCCCACCAGGCAGACCAGGCTATCCCCCTTCCTTGGTAAGCCTTTCCCAGCTCTGGTCATACCACTGATTTGGCTCCAGCTTTTTTTGCAGTAGTCAGGCCTAAATTCAGTTTCAGATCCCCGTCATTCCTCCTGGAGGAGACGTCTGACTCCAAGGCCTCTGAATGTGCCGCTGGAGATGCCCCTTGACAGAGGACGCCCTAACACAGGCACCCAGTCCTGCTCACAGTGCCCATGTGGCCCTATGGGTGACTAATTGGTGTCATGCCAGAAAGAGCAATTTAAGAAACATACTTTAAAAGAATCCTTGCCTGAGACACTCTCTTACTGAAAACAGATTCCAGCCTAGTTAACAGGTGAGCTGTGGCACTAATTTGCCTGCCTGAAAGTGCTTATTAGATCATTAAAACGGCAGTGAGTGAGGCAGTGTTATCCAGCAGAAGAGCAGGAACCAAAAGGACATGACTGAATGAATTGCTTCAGGGTATTTTAGGGAGTGACTTAATTTCTCTGAGTCTATCAAATGAGCACAGCTATGCTGGCTTCTGGTGTCTTAGGAGTCAGAGACCATGCAAGGATAGAGCCCTGGATCCAGCGGATTCTCCATACATGAGAGCTGCTGTTGCTGCTGTGGAATTTAAAATTTTCATTTTCTAGACAGCCCACTTTGAATGGGACTTTTGCGAATTGTCTTAATTCTTGTTTCCCGGAGGCTGTGACAAGTCCAGCAGTGTCTGTTTTAGCTTCTCCAGTCCATTTCTGTTCACAGAAAGCAAGCCATCTAGCATTATCTCAATAGAAAGTATTTGCTTAGGTTTCAGTTTTCCACATTAACTTGTAGTGGTTGAACTAAATGAATATTTTAAATTCTAAGAAATTGTTTTCTGCAGTTAAGAGACTATTGAGAGTTTAAAAAGCCTGGCACAGTGGCTCACACCTGTAATCCCAGCACTATGGGAAGCTAAGGCAAGAGGATCTCATGAGGCCAGGAGTTCAAGACTGGCCTGAGCAACATAGCAAGACCCCATCACAACAGAAATAAAAGATAAAAATAAATACTGGGCACGGTGGCATATGCCTGCAGTCCTAGCTAAGCTACTCAGGAGGTTGAGGCAGGAGGATTGCTTAGGCCCATCAGTTTGAGGCATAGTAAGCTATGATTTTGCCACTGCACTCCAGCCTGGGTGACAGAGCAAGACCTCATCTCAAAAAAATAAGTAAATAAAATTTAAAATTTTTAAAAAGAAACATAATTCTGCAGTTTAAAATTTGGGACACATGTCCTGTGGAAATAATGTTATTCAGGTGGCTGGTGTCCCAGACTGCCCACTGGTTTCAGGCTCGAACTCTACAGTTGGGCTTTAGTGCATATGAATCACCCAGGGATCTTGTTAAAATGCTGAAACGAATTCAGTTGGGGGCAAAAGGGACTGGGAGTTGACATTTCTAACAGCTCCTGGGTGATGCCCACGCTGCCCATCCAGGACCAGTTTGTGTAGCAAGGATGGAGCGGGAGAAGCTGGCATTACTTAGGGATGAGAACAGTGGGTGAGGCGTTGTCCTAGACAGGGCAGAGGGAGCAGGGGTTCTAGTGAGGCGAAGGAACAGGACTGGAAGGATTGGAGGAAATGGGGAGAGGGTTCCTGACTGGTGTAACTCCCCAGGCACTTCCTGGGCACTTCCTGGCCATCGTCTCTTCTGGCCCTGGTGTTTGCCAGGCTGCCCTCTCCGCCCTGCCCCCTAACCCACCTGGGGTCCCTAAACTCTCCTACCCAGCTACGGAATCTGGCCTTCCCTTTGTTCTCAGAGCAAGCACACTCTGCAGAAAGGCTCTTCTTTCTTATTTTCTTTGTATATAATTTTTTTACCCAAACAAAGGTAAGACAGTCTCTTGTAAATGAAGTGCATTTCTAGTAAACAGCCTGGGAGTCCTAGGTCTGACTTCTTGTTCCCCCTCTGTTTGTGCTTAGATCCTCTGAGGAAATGCTAAGGAGCACAGAGATAGGGATGGCTGGTCTTTGAGTGCTCCAAACATAAGGTTGACCCCCACACGTCCACCCCGATTTACCTGCTGCTCCCCGCTTTCCACTTTACATTCTCCGTGTCCTCTCCCTGGAGGACTAGGAACTTTGAGGGCAGGACTAGAAGTAGATTCATCTTCATATTCCTGCAGTACACACACAGACTTGGGCGAATGTCAGGAAGAATGGGAGGAGAAAGCCAGAGGGGTGGGAGAGCAAGAAAGGATTGTCATGGAAATTAGTGAGCAGGAGAAGCCACTTGAAGTGAATTTGTTTTCAGTCAAACTTGGCCAGGATATATCCACATCCGAGCAGTTGTGTGAGACTTTCCTGCTTAACCAGGCCCACCTGGGTGGGTCATGGCCTGCTGTGGTGGGTGGGGGAATGGAGCCAAGTAAGGCACTGGATGTGGCCTCCATTCTCTCCGAGCACCTCGGCTCGGAAGCCCCTCTGCCGGGATCCTTCCAGAACAGTAACGTTTTAGCAGTGAGGTGTAAAGGTAAGCCCATCTCTTTTAAGAGTTGAGCTAGGTGGAGCTGTCACTTTGGTGGGAAAGTGAAGGCAGATTAGGACAGTATTACTAAGATTACATCTAATACATGATCGCATTCTTGTTTTTCCAGATTTATCAGCAAGACTGTTGAACGCATAACTGCCCAAGATGCCCGTCCCTCCCCCTCCAGCACCCCCGCCGCCCCCAACGTTTGCACTGGTGAGTGTCTCCTCGCTTTCTATGCAATCACTTTCTATGCATAAAGCAAGCCAAATGAAGCCAAAACCTGGCACGCATGTGTTTGTATTAAATGTGTTTGCATTCTGGCTTACATGTGATACAACAGGCTTTCCTTGTGCCCAGAGTAAGCCAAACCCTGAAACCCAGCAAATACAAACAACACGAAGGGTTTTGTTTGTTTAAAGTCTCATGTGATGGATAGTACGAGGGTGGAATGTGGCTGATTAGGTGTTTTCTGCCGCATCTGTGTAGGGAAATGTGCTGGCCTCAGATAGGGTTTGCAGGAGCAATTCTGAGTGTGCACTGTTCTCATTCAGATGAACTCAGTGTCTGGCCTTTACCTTCTGGGCTGGACAGTCTAGAAACCCAGGTCTCTGCCTGCGGTGCATTCCATTAAAGTGTCTTCCAGTCTCACTCCTTTCTTTTTTTCTGCCTTTTCCCCTCTTTTTCCCAATCTGTTTTTGACAAATATCTCACCCCACCACCTCTCCCACACACATTCACATCCTCCTTTAAATCTATACTTGCATTTAGGCATTTAGATGTTTATTTCCCGAAAGAATTTCTTCACTGGATTAATCCTGGTCTTTTTTTTTTTTTTTTGAGTCTCGCTCTTTCGCCCAGGCTGGAGTGCAGTGGCATGATCTCGGCTCACCGCAACCTCCACCTCCCATTCAAGTGATTCTCCTGCCTCAGCTTCCCAAGTAGCTGGGACTACAGGCACACACCACCATGCCCAGCCAATTTTTGTATTTTTAGTGTAGACGGGGTTTCACCATGTTGGCCAGGCTTGTCTTGAACTCCTGACCTCAGTTGATCCACCTACCTCAGCCTCCCAAAGTGCTGGGATTACAGGTGTGAGCCACTGTGCCTGGTTCATCCTGCTCCTTTGATAGACCTCTTTGGGGAAGTTAGTGTGCCCTCTTCCAGGAATTTGGCAACCCTCCACTTGGTCATATGGAAAGGCCCCAAGATAAACTCTGTTACAAAGCCCTCTCCAGCTTGTGAAGCCTTCACTGAGGAGGAGCCTCACACTGATGGTTCCTTCATTTTCACCATTTTCACAGGGGAAACTGAGGCTTGGAGAGAAAGTTTCTTGCCCCAGGTTTCCATGAGACGCATTTATATAACTCATCTAAGGATGATACCTAGTGAGAAGAACTGCCCATTAATTAGCTTATTGTTACTCAGAGTGTGGCCTTCCAACTACTTTTTAAGAGTCCCCAAAGTGATGAGGACAAAAATTGAAAGTAAGCATTTAGAAGCATTTCTAGCAATTTGACAGTAGTTTTCTGTCTGTTTCTAAGATTGGATGTTGTGTGTCTTTTTTAAAAAACTAATTCGTTTTTCTAATAATTCATTGTTATTTTACAAAAGTGTCAGTTGCTGATGAAAATATTTTTCAAAAGACTGGTCCTCGGCCAGGCGTGCACTGTGGAAGGATAACTTGAGCCCAGGAGTTCGAAACCAGCCTGGGCAACATGGCAAGACCCCCATATCTACAAAAAAAAATTTTTTAATTAGCCAGCCAGACATGGTGGTGCATGCTTGTAGTCCCAGCTACGCTGGAGGCAGAGATGGGAGGATTGTTTGAGCCCAGGAGGTCAAGACTGCAGTGAGCTGTCATTGCACTACTGCACTCCAGCCTGGGTGATAGAGCAAGACTGTGTCTCAAAAACAAAACAAAACAAAAACAAAACGCTGGTCCTTCACATGGATAAGTTTGAGAACCTCTAATCTGGCTAACATAGCAGGATTCATTTATCCATATTTCCCCAAAAGTATGGGTTATAGTGAACTGACTTAATAAAAAATATTAAATAAATAACACAGGTGGTATGAGAAGATGACAAAAATCATGAATCTTATACCAGAATGCTTGAAGTTTGGAAAACCTTGTTTATCTTATCAACTCATTTCTATCTGTTATTACCTAATTCAAAGCAAGACTGTGGATAAATAGAATATAGAGATGAAGAAAGGCAAAAGGTGGGTTGGTGGCCATCATAGACCACTGCCTTTGGGAAACAACATAATTAAGGGCCCTGAACACGAGAGAAGTTAGCACCCAGGGAGGTCAGCTGTCAAAATAAATTTTAAGGCAGAACAGGAGGCTACTGAAGGTTGCTAACCCAAAACTGTTCAGAGATCCACTGTGACACATCACTTAACCTCTCTAGGCCTCAGAGTTTTTTCATCCTTAAAATGAAGACAGCAGGTAATGTTAAGAGCTCTTTCCAGGACATCCAAAGTATGTTAAGTGGAAAACAAACAAGTTTCAGAACAATAGAGGAGAATCCCATTAGCAAAAGCAAACTGTGTTTGCAGAGAGCATTTCTGGAAGGACAGCAGAGAAACTTTTGACAGGCTTGCTTCAGCGGTATGTTGGGGCTGATAGGGATGAGCATTTTGGAGCCCATATTTACCCTTCTGTCAGCTTGTAGGGAAGGCTTTTGACTGCCAGGGTTTGAATCCCAGCTCCTCCTCAACTAACTAGGTGACCGGGGCAAATGATTTAAACTCCCTGTACTTCAGTTTCCTTGTCTGTAAAATTGAAATAACTCACAGGGTTGATAAGGGCTAAATGAAGTAATACACATAAGGTGCTGAAAACAGTGCCTGGCACAGAGTAAAAGCTATATATGTTAACGATTATTATCATAAGCAAGTAATGCTTTATCATTTAGTTATTTCAAGATGCTTCCAACTTTACCGTATTTTACAGTAATTCTGTTTACACAGTATAATTCCAATCACACAGTAATTCTGGTTAGCCCACTTCAGGGTTTTTCTGAGTTCTTCCTTTGCCTCTAACTCTGCTAATACAAGGCTGAGTTAGACCAGGAGCAGTAGCACGCGCCTGTAATCCCAACTACTCAGGAGGCTGAGGCAGGAGGATCACTTGAGCCCAAGAGTTTGAGGCTGTAGTGCGTGATGATCACACCTGTGAATAGCCACTGCACTCCAGCCTAGGCAACATAATGAGATTCTGTTTCTAAAAAAAAAAAAAAATTGTTTTTTAAAGGCTGGGTAAGGTATTGAGCCATACATTTCCCCAGCTTTTCCTCCTGTGGCCCTAACTGGCAAATCTGAAATCATATCCCCATCAGAAGGGCTGGGGCCAGCCTAGAAAGGACCTGTGGGTTTGGGACAGCCAGACTCTCCCTGGGACAGACAAGACCTAGCCAGTTTCCAAATGTGAAAGACACAGGCACACAGGCAGGTGCCTACATCTAAGTCCTTTTGCTGGATACTTCCTGAAGGAGCAAGATCCCAATTTCATAGTAGGTGGGGATCTTTCATAGGAATTCTGGAAATACAAGAAAATAATCAAACATGTTAAAGTAGCACTTTTATCCATTCTGCAATTTCCATGAGCTAAGCTTTCATCAGAATTAAACATCAGAAACACCTCATGCCAACGGGACATGAGGGAACTTTTGAAGTAATGAAAATATTCTATATCTTGATTGTGATGGTGGTTTCACAACTGTATATCTTTGTCAAAACTCACAGAACTGTAACTAAAAAGGGTAATTTCACTATATGTAAATTACACCTTAATAAATCTGACTTAAAAAGAAAAAAAGCATCTTTGGCAATATACACAGTGGGAATTATTTTCTAGAACTTTAGTGGGTTTAAAAAACATACAGCTGACTCTTTTTGCTAGAGACAGTTTTTCCCTTGCACTGGGTTAGTTCTAAAAGATGGGAAAAGGAAGTTATTCTTCAGGGTACCCTCTAGTGAATGAAGCCTGGTAATGTCCTGCAGAACCCTCCCAGACTTAAACTTCTTTTCTCGTGTCTAGTCATCTCACTCTAACCTGGCCCTGTTAGTTTCAGTCAGATTGTGGTCTGAATTTTCAGAGACTTTAATCAAGGACTGACTCTTCCTCCCTTAAAAATGAACATAATTTATTGCTGCATCTGCTTCCAAATGTCTGGATCTTAAAAAGAATGATATGGGTTCTAAAACTTGTTGAGAATTTACAACCTGTCACCAAGAACCTTAATAACAAGCTTCCCGTACCCAACCTTTCCCAGCCAAGTGTTACAATACATGATTTTAACCCAAGAGATGACTACTTGTTTGTATGGCTTCCTTTCAGGCCAATACAGAGAAGCCTACCTTGAATAAGACAGAGCAGGCTGGGAGAAATGCTCTCCTTTCTGATATCAGCAAAGGGAAGAAACTAAAGAAGACAGTCACCAATGACAGAAGTGCACCAATATTGGACAGTAAGTAAAAAAAGCTATTTTCCATGAAGAGGAACAGTTTACGGCCTAGTAATCAACCCTACCCTCACCCCTCAATTTTTTTTTTTTTTTCGGTTAACAACAGCTGCAAAGCTAGCAAAATAAGGGACTGTATCACTCCCTGTAGGCCGCAGCTTTGGCTTGGGTTCCCTTTTAATACTGCAAGAAGCTAGTATAATAATTCTTTGTCCAAGACATACACAGCAGCAATTCTCTGCATTATTCACAACACTTTCTGGAGATTAACCCATTGCTCCTGGCACCGCAGATGAGGAGGCAGCATAAAATATGGAAAGAGCCCTAGCCTTGGAATCAAAAGCTGTGGGTTCAAGACCTGGCACATCCATCCTGTACCATCTCCAAGCCTTGTTGTCTTCATTTTAAAGTGGAGATTATAATACATGTTCTATTGACCTCACAAGTTTGTCATGAGCTTCAAATGAGATAATGCCTGTAAAATGTTTTGTTGTCTGGAAAGTGTAATTCAAGTGTAAGATACAATTATTAGGAGCTTAGAGAGAAAGGAAATGAGGTCACAACTTCGCTTATCTACCCACCTAAGTCTGAGGTACTTTCTGGAACAAGGCTACTTATTAACATTTACAACAAGACAAAAAATAATCCATGACTAGAATTCTACTGGCAATTAATAAGTAGATCTTAAGGCTGTCTCCTCACATTTCTAGACCCTTCCTTTGCCTGCCAGATGTCCCCAAGATTCATCCTAGACTACAGATCCCATTTGGATGCAACAGGAAATAGACTGACCTTCCAAAATCACCAGATGGAGCTTTGTCAACAAGTGAATAATGAGGCAGAATATTTGCAAAGTAGAGGATTAGAAGTGCTTCAGGGAACTTCCTGGGAGAAATGCCTAATGAGTAGAGAAGGAAGAAGAAGGATCAGAGTTAGGTGGACTACTGGTTTGGGAGGAAAAAGGAAAAGTGAAAGACCTAGATAAGGCCTTTGAATGTTGTTCTGTTACTGGGCAAAGTGGTGCGAGTGAGAATGCACTGCTTTCAAAAAGGAACTATGGCCGGGCACAGTGGCTCACACCTGTAATTCCAGCACTTTTAGAGGCTGAGGCAGGTGGATCACTTGAGGCCAGGAGTTCAAGACCAGCCTGGACAACATGGTAAAAACCTGTCTCTACAAAAAATACAAAAATTAGCCATGTTTGGTGGCACATGCCTGTAGTCCCAGCTACTTGGGAGGCTGAGGCACAAAAATCACTTGAACCCAGGAGGTGGAGGTTACAGTGAGCTGAGATTGTGCCACTGCACTCCAGCCTGGACAACAGAGCAAGACGCTGTCTCCAAAAAAAAAAAAAAAGGATCTAAGGTATTTAACTCTTGACACAGTCTGACTTGTAAGTCAAAATGCCCACAAAAAGAATGTGGTTATAATATAATCCCTCTAATCAGCCCTCCAATAGCCATCTGAATCATGGTCCTTGGTATGAGGCCAGAGGAGCTGCTGGCCTCTAAGACAGAGGCCTGTGGTTCTCCTCACTACAAGAGGGAGCCTAGGGCTCTGTTGAAGGAGACTGGACAGTCTAGACCTATTCCTGAATCCACTAGTGGAAACCTTGAAGAATCGTATTCTCCAATGTTCACTTCTCTCATTTAATGAAAATACACGTGTTAGTCCTTCTCTCTTCCATGATGTTTAATAATGTGCTTTCCTTGATGGAAGGAAGATACAGTCCAGTGCAGGCCCTTGTTCATGCACGTAACTGGACACCTATACTGCTGTCACAAGCTCTTTGCAAGCAACAGTATTTATCCATGGTTTTGTATCTGTTTGCATGTGAAACTTCCCTGGGCTGTATGTCAAAATGTTGACCGTGGTTATGTGTGATAGCTCCCAAATTCAGCCTGTCCTACAGTTTAATTACTGAAAAAATAATCTGGAAGCAGTTAACTATCCTCAGCTTTAGCTTCTCTTTCTGTAAGATGGACAGATGTTGCAGGTTAAGAACACTAATGAGCCGGGAGCAGTGGCTCACACCTGTAATCCCAGCACTCTGGTAGACCGAGGCAAGCCAATCACCTGAGGCTGGGAGTTCAAGACCAGCCTGACCAACATGGAGAAACCCCATCTCTATTAAAAATACAAAATTAGCCGGGCGTGGTGGCACATGCCTGTAATCCCAGCTATTTGGAAGGCTGAGGCGGAGAATCGCTTGAACCCAGGAGGCAGAGGTTGTGGTGAGCCAAGATCGTGCCATTGTACTCCAGCCTGGGCGACAAGAGCAAAACTCCATCTCAAAAAAAAAAAAAAAAAAAAAAAGGAACACTAATGGATGATGTCTGATACTGCAGGAGTCCCTCTAAAGTTTCAATACCATGTAAATATGTCCTGTGAAGTGCAGTATTCCAAAATGTGTCATTCATCAATGAATAGTGTTTGAATGACAAGGGCAATGTTAATATTATTACCAAAATTTTAAAATTTTATATGGAAACAATTTTGCATACACTTCTAGAAATTGTTAGTCTTATATGTTTTATCCTGTTAGGTGAAGTAATTCTTGTCAGTTATTATCAGATTATTTCTTTCATAGCAGAGCTACCATAAGCATCCCAGAAAGCGCTGCATCTAGAAAAGATACAGAGCTAACACAAATTTATGATAAACCTAATCCAGAAAAAAAGGAAATAAAAATGAATAAAAGTGGAACTCAGAAAGCAGATAAAATAAGAGATTCAAAGCATATTTTCTAAAATTAAAGTAGTACAATAAAGTTATCTGCTAAAATGTTTTAAGATATTAAAGAAAGTACTTTTCTAAGAAAAGCGTACATTTATTCAAGAAACCTCAGTGAGCAAGGGAAAAGATAAAAACTTTATTAAATTACTTTCTCTCCAAAAAGCTTTGGAGCCAGATTGTTTTATTAGCAAATTCTTTCAGATTTTAAGAAAAGCTAATCCAAATGCTGTATAAATCATTCCCCAACATGTTAGAGATGGAAAGCTATCTAATAATTATAATGAAATTGGCATGATCCTAATGTCAAAACTTGACAAAGGCAGTACATACAAAAAAGAGAGCTATACATTAGTGGTTTTCAACTGAGGGTGATTTTTGCATTCCAGGGGATATGTGGCAATGTCTGAAGACATTTTTAGTCATTACTTTGGGGGTCAGGGAGGGCTGCTACTGACATCTAGTGGGTAGACACCAGGGATGCTGTAAACATTCTGTAAAGAACAGGACAGGACAGCCACCCACAAAAAAGAATTATCTGACCCAAAATGTTTATAATTAAGAAACCCTATTATGGACCACTTACCATCATAGATAAGAGAACACTAAAATACCAAAAAACAAATCTAAATCAATCAGATGTTACAAGAACAATTCACCAACACCAGGGTTTATCCCCCCCTTTTTTTTTTCGGAGACAGGGTCTTGTCTTGTCACCCAGGCTGGAGTAACGGTATGAACACAGTTCACTGCATCCTTGACCTCCCAAGCTGAAGGGATTCTCCTACCTCAGCCTCCTAACTAGCTGGGACCACAGGCATGCACCACCACATCTGGCTCATTTTTTGTAGAGATGAAAATCTCACCATATTGCTCAGGCTGGTCCTGAACTCGAGCTCAAGCAATCCACCCACCTTGGCCTCCCAAAGTGCTGGGATTACAGGCGTGAGCCATTGCACCCGGCCTATCCCATTTTAATGTTAGAAAGTCATCATATCAAACTAAAAAGACCATAAAAAGTCTCAGTAGATCTTGAATAGGCATTTGATAAAATTTCATGCTATAAGAAATTCTTGTAAACCTAAAATAGAAGGATCCATCAACTGAATATTTAGAAAGGGACAAAACCTATTTCAAACCAGTAATTCATATTAACTTTGAAACATCAGAGGGATTCTCATTAATATCAGAACATGATTGCCTTTAGAAACGTTAATAATTTACATTGTTATGGAAATTTACCCATCAAAGTAATTACTTATATAAAACAGAAATAAGATATACAATTCTTAGAGAAGAGGAGGCTTTAAACCATTATTATTTGAAGACCACATGCATACTAGAAAATGCAAGATAATAAATTTTTAGGAAATTTTAATTTAGAAAATATAGCAAAGTGGCTTATTAGGTATTAAATACAATTTGCTGGTGCCAAAAATAACCAATTACAAAATATAACAGGAAAAACATCCCTTTCACAATTTCAGCAAAAATACATTTGAAGTAACCCCAACAAAAAGCATGTGTAATGTAAATCATGAAAACTAAAAAACTTTGCCAAAAAATCCAGAAGACATGAATAAACGAGAAAATATACCACATCTCCAAATGGAAAGTCTAAATATCGTAAAAGTATCAGTTCTCCCAGATTAGTTTGTAGATTTCATATACTATTTATCAAAGACTCAACATAGTTTTTTGGGAAGAGGACTTTAAATAATGTTTAAGCTCTTAAATACAAACATGCATACATACATAAATTAAGAGAGAATTTTTTTAAAGAGGGTATAAGCATGGCTTAAACACAACTAATTTGCACTTCTTGGGACAAATGCCATTGCATTAGTATCAGTTTTCTATACCTTTCAGAGTGATAAAATCCTGTGGCTTAAAGACAATGGGAAGTAACCCGGAAAACTAGATGGAATACTCAGTAATCTTTCTGTTTGTTTATTTGCCTCCCATCAAAATCTTTCACAATTTTTTGCAGATAAATTCAAAATAAAACAAGATCTTTATACCCTCTCAAATTGCAAAGAATGTTTAAATTACTAAAGCCTACAATTGGGCTTCATGATACTAAAAAATTAATAGCAATCTAAAAGGCCATCAAATGAGTAGTTAAATAAATTTTAATGTAATACATTCATGTTCTGCAATACAATACAATCCTTTAAACTCATGTTTTCAAAGAGTATGACACAAGAAGTGCTAACAAAGTGTTAAGTGAAAAAAGCAGGCTTAATACTGCATAGTGAATTTGTTCTTAATTTTAAGAAAAAACACATAAAATGAAAAATACTGCCAGGAAAAAGTATAACTCAATAATGGATATTTGCTTAGTGTTTTTTCTTTGTTTATTTGCTGGAGTGCAGTGGTGCAGTCATAGTTCACTGCAGCCTCGGTGGGTTCAAGTGATCCTCACACCTCAGCCTCTTAAGTAGCTGGGACTACAGGTGTGCACCACCATGCCTGGCGACATTTTTTTGTTGTTGTTTATTTTCATAGAGATGAGGTCTCACTTTGTTGCCCAGGGTGGTCTCAGACTCCTGGGGCCCAAGCTGTCCTCCAGTCTCAGCCTCCCAAAGTGCTGGTATTATAGGTGTGAGCCACTGTGCCCAGCCTGGATATTTGTATATTTGTGAAATTATGAGATATTTTATTTTCTTGTCTTTTTAACTCTTTCGTTTCTTCTCACCTTTTATGGCATCTCCTCCTCCCTTGGGACCCTCTTTCTTTGAAGATCCTTTTTATTGAGACAGGGTCTCACTCTGTTGCCCAGGCTGGAGTACAGTGGCACAGTCTTGGCTCCCTACAGCCTTGACCTCCCTGGCACAAACAGTCCTCCCACCTCAACCTCCCAAAGTGCTGAGATTACAGGTGTGAGCCACTGCAACCAGCCTGAAGATTTTTCTATTTGCCAAACCTTAGGATACGGAACAAATAGATATTGACCCATGTGGCAGCCAGTCAAGTGGGGAGTGTGGGAACAAATCATCCTTTATTTTCGTTTCTTCCACCACTGGGCCTGGGACTGCCTGGAGCGGGCAGTTCTGACTGAGCTGAGGGAACTCTTAAAATCCTGCATTTTAATGAAGAAATCCCAGTTGTCCACTGGCGGCCCAGAGCCGGCCAGCTCCCTGTTGTACTGTTGTTTTATGGTTTACCTGGGCCAGACCAGGGGGCATACTCTGGCGGGTGTTTCTTCTTCTGCAGAACCTAAAGGAGCTGGTGCTGGAAGTGGTGGTGGTGGCTTTGGTGGAGGCGGCGGATTTGGCGGAGGAGGTGGTGGCGGAGGCGGTGGAAGTTTTGGAGGGGGCGGACCTCCAGGTCTGGGAGGACTCTTCCAGGCTGGAATGCCGAAGCTGAGATCCACGGCCAACAGGGATAATGGTAAGGAGAGTTTCCCTGTCTCTGAGTAACTGAAGACAAGACAGAGTTTGGCAGTTTGGAGGCTGGTCGTAGCCCCTAAGGCTCTTCGCCCTTACTAAAATATTGTACATTGTTTGAAATATTACCACTGTTTTATAAGAGACTCAATTTAGGCTTTATTATTATTATTAACCAGGATCAGACAGCTACACAGAACTATGAAATTTTCACCCAGTGTCTTTGGGGGTAACCTGTACTTTTTTTTTTTTACTTTTCTAAAGGGTTAGCTGGAGTGGGAAGAAAAGGGAGGAGCAAATAGAACTTGCTGGCCCTGGAAATCTGCCTGGTGACCTGACAGATTCAGCTTTCTTTGTGAGGTAGCCCAGCTGTCTAGTAGAGTAAATACTTGTGAGCCGCTTTTCAAACACGATGGAGCACGTCTTGTGGAATATGATTACAAATCTCACTAAATCTGAAAAAGTGTTTTGCATGACAGACATTTGGTATTTCAGTGCCAGTGGTTCTCAGGAGTCTCTGCAGGAAGCCATGGACATGAGTCCTTCATGATTGTCTATGAACCTGATGGTAGAGAAAAGCTGAACTTGCTCATGAATGCCTAAATAAAAAACTTCACAGAGGCATGAGGCTCTCTCCCGACTACTACAGAAACTCAAGAAATTTTACCATAAAACTGCTTTTGTAATGTTGATCATGTTACAATAATTTTCTTTTTAAGACCTTTTATAAGATGTCATCTGGGAAGGAATGAAATTCTCACATTTACATGAATATGGAATCACTGAATCCTCAGGGTTAGCCTACTATTTTATCACTGAATGGTCCAAATCTAGAGAGAAACTCAATTACATGAGAGGTTCTATCTTGCCAGACCACCATTTAAATTTGAATTTAAATTTATTTAAAACTCACCAAAAGGGTTTAAGGCAGCTGATAAATGTATACGTTTAGTACTTTAACAACAGGTGAAGAAATTAAGGCAAAAGACTAAGAAAAATAAAATAATAAAATGGGCCAGGCATGGTGGCTCGCACCTATAATCCCAGCACTTTGGGAGGTTGAGGCGGGCAGATGACTGAAGCCCAAAAATTCAAGAACAGCCTGGGGAACGTGGCAAAATCCTGTCTCTACTAAAAAACACAAAAAATTAGTGGGCGTGGGGGCTCTTGCCTGTAGCCCCAGCTACCCAGGAGGCTGAGGTGGGAGGATTGCCTGAACCCGGGAAGTTGAAGCTGCAGTGAGCCATGATCGCACCACTGCACTCCAGCCTGGGCAACAGAGGAGACCCTGTCTTAAAAAAAAAAAAAAAAAAGAAAGAAAGAAAAAGTTCTCTCTTAAGTTCATGATACTCCACTGTATACATCTGTCCAAATGCTTTTTTCCTATGCCTTAGACAAAATCGGAACCCCTTCTGTCCTGCAGGGCTCCTTGTGACTCACCCCTGTTGGCCATTCAGGCTCCGCTTCCCATGGATCTCTCCCATTCTCACTCTGCCTGGGGCACACAGGCCCGTTTTTGAACTTAAAGCTCTTTCCCACCTCAGGGCCTCTGCACCTGCTGGCCCCCTGCCTGAAGTGCTGGTCTTCCTCATCTTTCCATGGCCGACTCCTTCTTGTCAGGCCTCAGCTCACATGTCATATTCTCAGAAGAGCTGTCCCCAGCCACTCCATGTACCCTGGCCTCTCCAAGCACTCTTGATCTCATCAGCCTATTTTAGTGTCTTTTTAGTACATATAATTATCTGAAAGTATTTATTTCCTGGTTTATTGTTTATCTCCCCCCCACAAGAATGTAAACTACAGGAATGCAGAATCTTGTCTATTCTGTTTACTCCTCTGTCTCTGGTCTCTAGATTAATGGCAGGTGTATAGCAAGAGCTCAAAATTATTTGGTATGTTTATGAACTCATAATTGAAGGGTAGATTTTTTTTTTTCCCAGAATTACCTTGATTTCCAAGAGATTCTGGGATGGTGGTTTGAAATTTTCCATCTCTTTGGTTCCCCTTTAGTTTCTCTCTTGTTGAACCAGAGCAGTTACAGGATTGTTCTGTCCTGCCAATATTGAAGCAGAGGTTGACGTGGTAAGAAAAAAAAAAGTTGTGTAGTTGCCTGCTTCTTTGTAGATGAATTCCATCCACTGGTGTCAACTCTTCCAGTTAAACTCTATATGATGGTTTCTTTTTCCTTTCTTAGTTTTTTCTTATTGCAGTCATAACTCTTTCCTTATATTTTTCCCCTTATATTTTTCCACGTTTTCTTGGGCATTTCTCTTCAAAGGTACTAGATAAGTCCTCACATATGGAGATTTACATTGGGATAATTAATTTTTTCACCTAAAACAGCTGACTTATTTTCAAAACTGAGAGGTACAAGGGCTGGGGGACAGAGATGGTGATGGGGAAAAATGAAAATCATGATTCTACCAATGCCATCTTGTTCTTGTCCTCTCATAATGAATAGGCATCTCACCAGAACTCTCCCCCGCTTCATCCTGGCTCTTATCTATACATAATACTTTACATAGATCTTTCCAGACTCCTTTTGAAAGCTGATGGGCTGTAGAACTTGGGACTCGCAAGTAAATAGAGCTACGGTCGATTTTCTGCTCCCAGGAAGGGCCACACACACAAAACCCAATTTATATAAATAGTTTCCTCTATTTTATAGCCCTCTGAGGAAGGGACTTCCAGTCACGGGGAACAGACTGTAGCGCTCTGATTTCTTTAGGGTTCCTGATTTCCTAACTGGATGTTTGTTTTCCTGTTTTTCAGATTCTGGAGGAAGCCGACCACCCATGTTGCCACCGGGAGGAAGATCCACATCTGCCAAACCCTTTTCACCCCCAAGTGGCCCAGGGAGGTTTCCTGTGCCTTCTCCAGGCCACAGAAGTGGTCCCCCAGAGCCTCAGAGGAACCGAATGCCGCCCCCAAGGCCCGACCTGGGCTCAAAGCCTGATAGCATCCCCCCTCCAGTACCTAGTACTCCAAGACCCATTCAATCAAGTCTGCACAACCGGGGGTCCCCACCAGTGCCCGGAGGCCCGAGGCAGCCCGGCCCCGGGCCCACTCCTCCCCCTTTCCCTGGAAACCGCGGCGCTGCTTTGGGAGGAGGCTCAATACGTCAGTCTCCCTTGAGCTCCTCCTCGCCCTTCTCCAACCGGCCTCCCCTGCCGCCTACGCCCAGCAGGGCCTTGGATGACAAACCCCCTCCGCCACCTCCTCCAGTAGGCAACAGGCCCTCCATCCACAGGGAAGCGGTTCCCCCTCCTCCTCCTCAGAACAACAAGCCTCCAGTGCCTTCCACTCCGCGGCCTTCCTCCTCCTCACAGGCCCCACCTCCGCCGCCACCTCCCAGCAGGCCCGGGCCGCCTCCCCTGCCTCCAAGTTCCAGCGGCAATGACGAAACCCCAAGACTCCCACAGCGGAATCTGTCCCTCACTTCGTCCACGCCCCCCTTACCTTCGCCAGGACGTTCAGGTCCTCTTCCTCCCCCGCCCAGCGAGAGACCTCCACCTCCAGTGAGGGACCCGCCAGGCCGATCAGGTATGACAAGACGTGGGGTGAGTCGCTTCCAAAACCCAGCCTGCCCAAATGTACCAATAATGCTGTCAGTCAAGATAGTCTTAACAAGAACAGGCATAAGTAAGCTCTCAGACTGCTTTGTGCTTTTAAGTGGCACGCGACACATGTGATCGTGACCTCGTGTAAATCCCTGAGGAAAGTGGGACCAGTATTTCTGTTGGTGTTTTAGCGATGAGGACACTGAGTAGCCAATAAAGTTAAATGGTCACGAGCTAGTTAATAAAGAAGAGGCAAGAACTTTCGTCTTCCATCTCTAAAGTGTACTTGCCAGCCCACTACCCTGCCTCCCTAGAGAGAATTTCAGTGGTCTTACTTGGGAAAATAAGTCCCCACCTCCTGCAGGAGGGCTCCATTATTCCAAACAAGAGGGGAAGATTTTCAAGAGCTAATGAACTTCTCCTGTACTTCTCTCTTCATTAGCCAGGCTTTGAGGCCATTTCCCTATTCATTAAAGACAAATGTTTAAAAAGTCCATTTTGCTCTTTGTTAACATCTCTGGTACATAAATCCCTTGGAGAATCAAATAAAGGTATAGACTATCTTTACAAAAATACTCAGGCATAAACTCAAAATCTGCATGCTGTCACATGGCTTGAAGAGCCTGCTGAAGCCCATCTGAGACCTTTCCAATGCGGTTGGAAAGGTTGAGAAACCTTGATCTGAGGGACAAACTTTCAGAGTACGAAAGAAAACGCAAGGATTGCCTAGAGTTTGCCCTCTCCGAATTATAATAGGCATTTTTAGTAGAGTACACTCACTTGATGCGTTTTACAGTGGTTATGGATGAACTCGGTAGAACCACCCACTTTTCAAATTTAATCTCATCGTACAGACCTTATGTCTGGAAATGGGGCATTTTTTTCCTTTACGCAGAGATAAGAGACCTTTGACCCTGTGACCTCAGGAACCTCATAATCACCATTCTTTAAACTTGCTCACATACTGGAATCATCTACGGAGTTTTAAAAACCACGAATGCCTGGGTCCCTTCCCAGAGTCTCTGGTATAATTGGTCTGGGGTGCAGACTGGGAATCGGGATATTTAAAAGCTCCCTGGTGATTATAGTGTGCAGCAGAATGTGAGAACCACACCTTGAAACCATTGTGCCGTGGCCCTACCAAATGGATGAGTCAGCAGATTAAATCTTCCCCAAAATATGACAAGCATTGACATACAACATTTATTGTTTCTTTTGATTACGTAAGTCATACTTGTTTATTATCGAAATACTGAAAAATATAAAGAAAATTAAAATTATCTGTAATCCTTCTACCACCACCATCCAGAAATAATCATTGATAACATTTTTTTATTGTGTCCTTTCAGTCTTTTTAAAATGCATATATGTTTTTACAAACTTGGTATCACACTACATATATTGTTTGCTAATTTGCTTTTTATTTACTAGTATCTCATTAATGTTTAGTGATACGATTATTCTTCTACAGCCTGACTTTTAACAGCTACCTAATATTAAATCCTACAGATGTACCTTGATTTATTTAACCAACCCCTCCCCTGATCATATGGGCCATCTCTAGATTTTTCCTGGTGCAGATAATGCAGTGATACATTTTTGTAGCAAAATATGTGTACACATCTCTGTATTTCCTTTGGATGAATTCCTGTAAGTGGAATATCTAGGTCAGTGAGTGTGCATAGTAAACTATGGATTTCATCGGTACTGGCAAATTGCCTTCCAGAAATCTCCTACCAATTTACATTCCCACAAGGAGCATATGAGAGTTCATCAAAGGCCCTGTGTATTCTGAGTCATTTGGCTTCAGTGTTACGGGAGTGGGCCTTGGAATCTGACAGATTTGGAGTCAGATCCTGGCTCCTGCACTCAGTCTTCTGATGAGCTTTTTAAGCTTCCAAAACCTCTGAGGCCTTGTCTCCTGTCCCTGTACCTCTCAGAGTTGTAAGAATTAAACGAGACAAGCATGGATAGTGGTTATCTTATTTCCTGGCATGTAGTTATATTCAATAAATGATCATTTCTGTTATTCCGCCAGTGGGAAATAGAAATCTGTTTTCTTTTCTATTGTGCCTGTCAGGATTTGGAGCAGGGAGCCATGAGGTTGGAGAGTTAGGAACATGAACAGGACCATTTACTTTAAAAAGAAAAAGAGATGAAGTTATATAGTACAGGGCCCCATAATATTGAAAGTCGAGTTTGCATGTAGTGACAGTTGTGTGGTGGTATCACCAATGAAGTCAAACCCACAGCAAATGAGACACTTTTCCTCAATAAATCAACTCTTGCTGCCTGAGACTCCAGCAATGACAAGCAGATAGGGTAATAAATAACCACTCCTAGGTGAGGCACTGAAGACTCCTTGAGAGACCAATCAGGGCTGGACAGTGCCTCCCACCGCCATAAAATGTTGGAGCCAAGACTTTCTGTCAGGGATATCTGCAGTGAGCAGGTTGTTCGGGTTACGGTTCCTAATTGGATTCTGAATCTATAGCTAATAAGATATTTATTTATAGCACCGTCAGATATTGTATTCACATACAATGTCAGCATCTTACAAGTGGAACCCACTACTGAAGATCAGGAATAATTACTAAGGCCATTTTGATTTACATTGGAAAATGCTCAAGTTTTTAGTTTTGTTTTTTTAGTTTACTTACTACTCAAATAGCCCCTGCATTTGGAGGATAGGAAAAGCAAGGTTTTCTTTTGTATTATCAAAAATAATTTACTTTGAATTTTTCTTTAGAAACTTAAAAACTTATGGTTATACCATACTGCTACATTTTTTAAAAATGGTTTCAAGTACTTACATAGTATTTTTTATTTGCATTTTCACTAGTTTTTCCTGGCAGCAGTGCTGTGAGACAGGTGACCATGTGGCACTCTTTTACAACTAGGAAACCAAGTTCCATAGGGTACCAGCTTGCTCAAGGTCAAGATTCACATTAGCATTTATAGCCATGGATGTTGATTAGCTGTTTGTCACTCCCTGTGTTCATCTGCCTCCCCAAAGAGGAAGAACCAAGAAGAAACTCCTACTGCTCTCAAGATGACTGGTATTTGGTTTCCTGATGCCACTTCTGCCTGGAAACAGATCATATGCATCACAGAAACGTGCTTCTGTAATTAACAACAAAACTGCATTTAAAGAACCTCATTCTTCTCAAGACCTAAAATAATTTCATAACTATCTTATTCTTTTTTAAAAAATTATTTCATCATGTCACAGTAATTAGTTCAATAGCTCTTTAAAGGATTGTAAAATTTTTTTAAATTATATGGTTGTCAGTATAAACAGATTTTCACCTGTTTTCAGTTTCACTGTGCCATCTCCAATCTCAGTGCTAATTCAAAGCCAAAACACCCATTTAGCTATCAGTATGCACTTGTTTTGCATATACATGTGTACACATGCATTTTTTGTGTTTCTGTGTGTTTACTCATTTCTCAGCCAAATACCCTAGAAAATCTCCACCCTAATTAAAGGGCATGTGTCCAGCAGGTCCCCATCAGCTGTACACTAATGGTGACTACGGTGATGGAATATGGATATAAGGTTCTGCACTACGTGTCTTTTTTTGCTCCAGGCCCCCTCCCACCACCTCCTCCAATAAGCAGAAACGGCAGCACGTCTCGGGCCCTGCCTGCCACCCCTCAGTTGCCGTCCAGGAGTGGAGTAGACAGTCCAAGGAGTGGACCCAGGCCTCCCCTTCCTCCTGACAGGCCCAGTGCTGGGGCACCTCCCCCACCTCCACCATCAACATCTATTAGAAATGGCTTCCAAGACTCTCCATGTGAAGGTGAGGTATGGTCCGACTCCCTGGGCTGTAGGGCAGCAACTAAATGGTAAATCTGTTTGTATATGTGGTTTGTTTGTTTGCGTTTAATTTCTTGTTCCATCATTATCACACTCCATTGCACTGATCTAAATAACCATTCTAAGGCCCACAGTGATTTCAAATTAAAATCAGTAATCCCCCTTCCCCACTTCCCAAAAAGGCAGATCATTTTTCCCTGATCTGTTCTTTGTTTGGGTCTCATTTTAGTTAACTTTCCAGAGATTCCAGGATTCTGAAAAGAATCTTTTAATAGCTTCTTCTTATGTACGTTTCTAAACAGTTCACTGTAGGTAAGAGGCCCGATGGCCTGCACATGTTGAACTGCCTATCTCTGCCATTGTTATCAATGGGGAAAAAGGTGTCCTATACCTTAGCCCCCAGCTCCTAAGAGGGACTGGCTGGATCCTAATCACTCTCATTAAAACCACTTTGCTTTGATTTGCAGGTCTGTATATATGTCAGTGTACTAATTCGTGACCTTTGCAGCACTTCCAGCTTTTCTGTAAACTTCTAGGCATAAAAACTAGCACTGATGTCTGTGGTTCTCTCTCTGTTTCATTCTGTGCCTTTCGTTACGTAAGTCTTCATAGCAGATTGTCTGTCACTGAAGATACTGCTTGTTTCTCTTCCCAGATGAGTGGGAAAGCAGATTCTACTTCCATCCAATTTCCGATTTGCCACCTCCAGAGCCATATGTACAAACGACCAAAAGTTATCCCAGCAAATTGGCAAGAAACGAAAGCCGGAGTGAGTATTTCTGCCAAGGTTTTTGAAGATTCATGCTTGAATAGCCTGAGTGACACTCGGGCTGTATAGAAAGTCCAGGCCTCTTGCCTGGAGTGGGGTAGAGAACCTTTTGGAGCCATCTACATTCTAGTAAATTCCCCTTCCACAGGCAGTGAGGAAATTGCAGATGCCCAGAATGCATATGAGAAACAGTTATTTTAATGTGTCATTACAAACTCAAAATACCGTGGTTTGCTAGTATTAAATTTTATTATTTTGCTTCTTTGGATGATCGTCCTCCGTTTTCATCTTCCTGAGACAGTACAAGTAGAGCCATCTTCTGTTCCTTCTAGTTTGAAATTGGCATAATGTCTGATTAATTATAATAAAAACTCCCTGTAACTGCCTTGATCTTTCAAACATATGATAATCATAGCTTTACAGAGCATTACATGAAAATGTAAATATATCCAAAATCTCTCTACATAATAGATATTTTCATTTTACCAGATTCTTATCCAATTTTTTTATCCATATAATTCTGATTTTTTATGTAGTTATAATGACAGTGTATAGTTTTGTGGCGGGGTTTACATAACATTGCTTAGTAAATAGTGCCCATATTATCACATGGTTTTTATTTCAGCATATAGTAATTTACCATTACCATGGACATTTAAATTATTTCTGTTGTTCTGGTAATGTAGGTCATGCTACCATAAGGAAGTAAATTGCTTTTCCTCCATTGAAAAAGGGCGTCAACAAGAAGGGAAAATAGACAAACTGGAATTTTATAACATTAAATGTATAGAAGTATTACAGCTCTTTCAGAATTTGTCTAGCAGGCTTTCCAGGGTTTTGCTGGAAAGCCTCTTAAATTTACTTTTAAAAAACACAATAGCCAGGCACGGTGGCTCACGCTTGTAATACCAGCACTTTGGGAGGCTGAGGCAGGCAGATCATGAGGTCAGGAGTTCGAGACCAGCCTGACCAACATGGCGAAACCCCATCTCTACTAAAAATACAAAAATTAGCCGGGCATGGTGGCGTGCGCCTGTAATCCCAGCTACTCAGTTGCTGAGGCAGGAGAATCGCTTGAACCCGGGAGGTAGAGGTTGCAGTGAGCCGAGATCGCACCATTGCACTCCAGCCTGGGCAACAGAGCAAGACTTCGTCTCAAAAAAAAAACAACAGCAGCAACAATAAATATATACAATGAAGAAAGAATTAGCATGAGATATGCGTATGTCACCCATGAGGCTGAGGTTCGTGGCAGCCTTAGCCTCAGAGCCAAATTCTCAAACCAGAAATAGAGAAAATATAACCTAATAAGTCAAATACGTCACAACACCCCTAGCCATGGCCTCACTCCCTAGCAGAGCTTCTTATGCCTACTCAGAGCCTACTGATTGTTTTCTAACACAGTTTAAAGTAATTTTTGGTTGGTTGGTTCCAAACCTTATAGGAGATTAGTAACAGCTAAAGTTAAGACTAGTGAGAAGCAAAATCACTGACATGGGAGAGAAGTGACAGATGGCAGTCCCAGGTCAGAGGAGGAGACAGGAACATGGCTGTGCTGTGTGTTACAGCGCAGGACAACACCAGATGTTTCTGTTGGGTTAAATTTCTATTGGGTTAAATGGGATTAAATTAATTGAGTTAACCTGTGCTTTGTGCCTCTGTAGAAAAATGTAAAGAGTTAGAAAATATAGGAAATTTTCCATGGACAAATGCTAGAAGAAAACAGAATACTACTGCTTAAAAGGAAAACTTTAATTCCTGGAAAAATTTGTTTATGTGGAAGACTGCATTCATAGACAATACCTAATGAAGAGGTATAGCTGTAATAAAATCATTATACAAGAGTTGATGATTGAAATTTTTAGTGAAGACCAGGCACAGTGGCTCACGCCTGTAATCCCAGCACTTTGGGAGGCCAAGGTGGGTGGATCACTTGAGGTCCGGAGTTCGAGACCAGCCTGACCAACATGGAGAAAACCTGTATCTACTAAAAATACAAAATTACCTGGGCATAGCGGCACATGCCTGTAATCCTAGCTACTCAGGAGGCTGAGGCAGGAGAATTCCTTGAACCCAGGAGGCGGAGGTTGCAGTGAGCAGAATTCACACCATTGCACTCCAGCCTGGGCAAGAAGAGCAAAACTCCATCTCAAAAAAAAAAAAGAAAAGAAAAGAAAAATTTTTAGTGGAAAGTAAGTTTTCACATGGGACAGGTATCTTTGAATGCTCTGTGTGTGTGTGTGTGTGTGTGTGTACGTGTTCACCAGAAGAAGGGCTTCTGTTTGATAAGAGTACAACCCTTCTTCCTTCTTGGGCACCAATAAACGAATTGACTTTAAGGAGTTGTTCATATAGACTCTAAATATTTTTTCTGACTTACTATTTTCCTCTTATTCTAAATATTATTTGTGTTTTTAAATTGGTAACAGACCATCTTCCCTGTACCCTCTAGATTTTTAATGTAATAGCTAAGCATATTTCTTCTCCCATCCTCCTTTAAGACTCAAGTAGGCAATGTAAGGACTAGAACTGTGTCCTGCTCACTGTTGCATCTTCCTTGAGGGGCACAGAGCCTGAAACATAAAGGGCATTTTCAAGTATTTCTTTTTAAAAATGTTCTTATAGAGACAGGATATCTCTGTGTCGCCCAGGCTGGTCTTGAGCTTCTGGCCTCAAGTAGTCCCCTGCCTTAACCTCCCAAAGCACTGGATTATAGGCATGAGCTACCACACCTAGCCTAAAAGTAGTTTTTAAATTGGTGAATTAATTTCCGCTGTCTACCAAAATTTTTTTGTACATTTGCCTTAAATATTTCCAGCATTAGGCATGTTTAATATTTTATAATGATAATGTATCATCTAACAAAAATAAATAAGGCACTGTCGAGTACCAAGTTTTCCTCTGCTTTGCAGCGACCTCAGCCTCCCAGCCCACAGCCTGAGAGCACACCCAGACAGCCCTGAGCAAGTACTGAATGCACTTGGAGTGTACTCTAATTACAGCTTTGGACTAGGCCAGCCCTCATTTTACTAACCACTTGTGGCGGGTCAGTTGATGGTCAGGGCTCCATGATAGGTGTCTGGTTTACATCCAGATGAGTCTTTTCTCAGATGCCTGCCCAAGAAAATATTTGGTTGGCATGGTGAGAGGAAGAGGCGCCTCTTTCAGTGTTTTCTCCTAACTCCTTTCCTTGCTCAGAAATTTGGTTCTTTCTCAGAAATCCCTAAGTGGACTAGTAGGGTCCCTATCAAGATCCCTACTGAGGAATCTGCCAGTTCCAGCCCACTGAGTCTCAAGAGTAGTGGTTAGAGCAGACCTACCTGATTGACACGTGCACCGGGTAGACCTGTTCACAGCATCTGAGCACCTGACCTCATGCCGAACACCTGTTAAATTCTCAACAAGGCTGGGTGCGGTGGCTCAAGCCTGTAATCCCAGCACTTTGGGAGGCCGAGACGGGTGGATCACGAGGTCAGGAGATCGAGACCATCCTGGCTAACAC